GTTTCACCTTGACAATGAGAATGCTAGATGCTAAGAAAAGACAGCACAAAAGACAAATCACAATTATGACAAGCTACAGTCTGTCTTCCTCATAGGCTTAACGCTTCATAATGGCACTCGAAGCAACTGACCAAGCAACAAACTTCTCAAGATTCGTTCTGTTCTGAATAGCGCTCTCCTTAATCACTGCCACCAATCACGACTTCCGACATTCCTGCCGAGGACTACAAGATGTTGTCAATCATTAATCGCTCTCAATCAGGCAAGATTTCCACAAGGAGAAATCACTTCCTGCCGCGACAACGCAAACCCCCCACCCAATCCACAAGCCTTCCTTCTTGCTCATTGCTTCCAAATGTTATCTGTAATTACCATTCACTCGGCAAATTAGCTCAAATCAGATCATGCTTCTTAATTAAAGTGACATTTCAGCAGTGGAGGGGGTACACGTGTGGCTGCGCTAACATGCTAATTAGCCACGCTAACGTGCTAAATGATAAGTGACCTGTAGCCTTCCACCAGCATTTAGCGTCTCCAAGGGAGATCTTCTCACAAATCTGCGGAGGCGGTTAGGTGGACATTACATGAACGTGACTGACTGGTTATTCACAAGCCATTTAACTGATAGTCGCAAGAGGTTTGGAAAGACACATTAGCACTTGACCACATGGCTGTTAGCATATCAGCCATCATATATATAGCTCTTATACAGACAGCTGCAAACAAATAGACTCATCCAAAGCATATTTCAAACCTGCTTCACTAGCTGTTGTCTTCAATTTAGAGTATTGATGCTTGAGGTTTTTAGGGTTCAGGTGATGTCAAGGAGGCCACTATATTTATGCGCAGAGGATTTTATTATGGAGATTTTCACTTATGTTAACCTCAATAGTGGATTCTATCAAATCACTGACACTGACCTCCTGTGCACCCGTCCCGCAGGGGCCACATTTCTTAGCAGGGTCAGACAATTCATCTCATAAACACATACACGCGCATAAATCTCACTGCCTTCGGTGACTTGCTCTACAGAGCCAACATGTAAAATGAAGAACGCATAATCTAGTGCAAGTCTGAATATTGCATGATTGTATGAATATATTCAGCCATCCACCCAATCAATGCAGATATTCATCCTTCTGTCTGTCCATCATCAACATCCATCTATCTGCCATACATTTGAACCATCTGTCCACCCAATACATCATCCATCCATCCTAAATATCCATCCATCCATCTTCCATTTATCCATGCTAGATATTATCAATCTATCCTGGAAATACATAGATCTACCCTAAATGTCATTCCTTTATTCCTCCATCCATCCATCCTAAATATCCACAGTTCAATCCTAGATACACACACGTGTCCATGCAATTAGGGCTTGGTGATTAAATCGGTATCAAAATTTTTTGACCGAACAATTGTCAAAAAGTTTAGTATGAAGTTTTGTTATGAACTGCTATAGTTTTATTAAAATGTGGCTGCTAAGTGCGCTCCTTGGAAGCAATGCCAAAAAGCTTAGGGTGTAAGTTCGTCTTTTCCAATGGATGCGCGCGACTTGCACGACGCGCATATGTTGTGCAAGCGGCACACATGTGACATGTGATGCATTTTCCAGCTGCACCTAGTTGAAAACTTCTGAACTTTTCCTGAATGCAGCAAGCGCACCGCCATTCATGTAAGTAGAACTAACCTTTCTGCTTCATACTTTGTATGGAATATACACAGTTCAGTAACAACGGCAGACTAATTACCTCAAACAAACACAACACACCCAAACACTGCAGCACTTTTTACTTTTCTCAATAAACTTGCATCAGAGCTGCAGCAATGGTTTGTTCATTAGTCACCCTCTGAGTAAATGCTTGATGGTCGCGTAGTTACGAGAGACGTGCTGTAAATGGTCAAGGAATCTGCGCGCACGTGATTGTCATTTCAGGTCAGAATAACAACACACGCAAAAATGAGATTGTAAATAAAAAAGGATTTAAGGATGTCACTCGAGAGGCTTTTTGGTTTCTTTTCTTGTGCATCCCAGCCATTAGCTTCTGATCTGAAAGATTTTTTTTAGCAAGGGGGTAATAAGGTAATTCTATTTCACAATTTATAATATTGCATTATGTATTCGAATAATGATGTTTAGCTCTTTTACTTGACAGATCAGATTTGATCATCAGAATTTGTGTACTTGACAGAGTTTGAGGTTTACTATATCATTATCCCACCTTAAAATTTGCTTTGATTGTTCAGCGTTTACACTTTACCATTGCACATACTTTGCAACATTTTATTTTTTCAAGTTTAAGAATCTCTTTATAACTTACAGTATGTTTATTTGATTATAAAAAGATTAGATATTTTGTTTAAATATTTTTGTTTTGACTATTTAAATCAGGGGTCTCAAACTCGCGGCCCGCGGGCCATTTGCGCCCCTTAGTGCAATATTTTGTGGCCCGCGCCGACCGCTGTACTCTGACAGAATAAGCGGAGCGGGGAGAGAGAGCGCTCCCCGCTCCGCTGATTCTATCCGTACACAGCACGCTTGTCACTCAATGCGCGTTGTCGCGCGTGTTCAGATCAGCTGTGTTGTTGCGCGCGTACTCAAGAGCGGTGTTATCGCGCGCCTACTAAAGGGCGGGACCGAGGGTGTGTCGCGTCGTGGGTGCACTTTTGATCATTCTGGAAGGGCACTTTCTATGCAAGACTAAAAAGGGGATGTGCTCTGCACAGGTTGAGCCCTATGTGTGCACGTGCCTGCCCTGCATCTTATATATATTGATATTATAGGTAGATACAGACTGGTACAGACTGATGTGACTGGAGTGGGGTGGGGGTGTTTTATTTATACATATATACGCCTTTTTTTTAGGTGAGGGAATGGAAGTTTTGAGTGAGTTCCCCCACTTTTTTCCCTAGGACTTCAATAAGTCAAAGTACAGGTCTAGACTTAATGATGATCATCTTCAAGCCATACTGAGGGTCTCAACTGCTTCCGCTCTAAAGCCAAATGTGGTTCAGATTTGTGAGAAGAAGCGCTGTCAAGTCTCTGGCAGCAAGAAGTAGGCAAAAGATGCCATGTTCAGAAGAACTGTTCATAATCTTCACTCAATGTTCTATTAATGTTCAGGACACTTCATGTTCAGAAGAAATAATTAAAACTGTTAATAATGACATTTGAGGACTTTTTTTTGTGAAATCCCTTATGCGGCCCAGCCTCACCCAGACTTTGCCTCCTGCGGCCCCCAGGTAAATTGAGTTTGAGACCCCTGATTTAAATTATTTGCCTTAGTAATGTTGGTAAATTAAAATAAAGTGGTTAAATAAATAAAAAATCCTAATATTCCTAAATGTATTGTTAAAAAATTGTCAATAATTATCCATATCGAATGATATGAAACATGATATCATGATCATTTCGTTGCATTATTGCCCAGCCCTACAAGTAACCATCATAGACATACAATCGAAACATTTAGTCATCCACTCTGAATAGATATCATATTCCCATCCATATATTCATCCTAGAGGCCGGTATAAGTTTCTGCTGGTATGATGGATAAAAATATCATGTTTTCATGTTATTGTGTTCAAATTGTGATTGTGTAAAATAATTTATTTTTAAATGTCTTTAAAAACAACATCTTTTTTCCTCATTTAACACAATATATTACATTTTAGGAAATATTTATACTTTTTGGAACAGTAAACATGTCAGGCTATCTAATTAAAATAAACAAGTGACTTCTACTATCTTCATTAGCTTCGAAAACACTGATTTTCTTACAACACATTAAAAAAATCCCTTACATAAACCTTAGAAATGGTAAAACAAATTATTTTAGCGGTTTTAATACCGTGACTTTTCCAAACCGCTGTAAACCTTGAAATCAAGTTATCATTCCATGCCTAATCCTAGATAGCTATCCATCTACAGTAGCTATACATGTTGTCATGCATATCCATTTAAAGTGAAGTGTTTCCAAGTTTTTGTAGATGGTGAGTCAGAAACCTTTTAATAGACCTGCCACTATAATTGTTTACTATTTTACCATTCAACATTGGTAAATGACACTCGATGAGTCAAAATAATGATGAAAAAAACTTGAAAAACACCACAACTTCTACAAACAATCATCCATGCTGCAGTCTAACAGATAGTCATAGGTCTTTGCTTCACAAACATTACCACACACACATACACTTGCCCAGCTGTCTGCAGCCTCTAAGATTTAGGCCCCTGATTATATATTCATACAGATGAATCAATAAGGCCTCGCAGCAACTGAAAGACTAGAGGAATTACAATGAGCCCACGTCAATAGACTACAGCTTTACATTTCATTAGGGCCAGACCCACACTTTAGCGCTAAATGAATAGCAATAAAACAGCACCGCCGGCACCAACACACATCCAAGATCCAGAGATGGTCCATCTCATACAGCTTGCCCCTTGAGAGCTCAGACATATTTGGCAAAGGAATTAGATTGGCTGTGGTGGACGAGAAGAGGATGCACAGGATTTGTACTCAATTAAAATACCATCAACATATGCACCTTTCTAGCTTTCACCTTATTAGGAACCTGGACACACACAGTGTATTTGCACAGAGGCTATTGATTTTTATCTAATGACACAGACAGTGCTGTCCAGCTCAGGGCAACAGGAAGAGCAAGGCGGAGGAGAAATGTGATTCCGATCATGGGATATCATCCGGCATCCGCTGATCTCCCCTCACCACCCTCCCCGCATGCAACCTATATCCAAGGCAGTGGTTCAGACATCACGCTGGGGTCATATACAAGGACTGAGACAGGATTACTGCATAACTCAGCACATGCTCACTTGAGTAGAACTGTTTGTGCATATGCCAAATGTACTCTTTACTTTAATAGAATTACTGCTAATGGCATCATAGTACTTTTCAAGCAAACATCACTTCCATCTGACATCCAATCGCCCAAAACGCACATAATTGCAAATGAGGCATTCAACTAACCTTCTTCATCCTGCCACTACGGGTGCCAGTGAAGGCTACGGTCTGTCCACGATAGTCATACGCTGCCACTGAAGTCATCCCATCATCTTTGTCCAAGAATAAAGGAATTCCCTCAATAGTAGTGGTGCCCCCTAGAGGCTGGTTGAAGTCCTGGCCGCAAAAGTTGTCATCTATCTGCAGAGGCTGTGGAGAGAGATAAGAAAAAGGCAGAGTTATTAGAGTAGTTAGGGAGTGGGAGTTAATGCGATGGCAGCCGATATGGCATTTTCACTAGTCTTAATCTTCTGCAATACCAATCCATTGCTCAATATTCCTTTGGGTCATTAAAGGCCATATACTGTATTTTCTGTGCTAATGAATCAGCCAGAGGCCCACACTCGTACTGATATATCGCAGGATGAGTCCCTGTGCTTGTGCTGCTAGAAGAGCGGTCGGAAAATATAGAGGACCTAAGGGAAAATCATTCTCAGCTCTTTACTCCTTTGTACAGAAAACTGCTAGCACTAATATGGCTAGCACCAAATGTCACACACAATACCTTGCAATGCCTTATGCACAAACGATTGCTAATCGTCCCACACAAAGATGACTGCACAATGCACAAAGTGTCCCGGGAGACGTCCTCCATACTCTGGACGACAGACTGGGCTCATTAGCGGAGACAAAAGTGGCCATGACCCCCACCGCCCTGCATTGCTGCCCAACGGTGCCCCTCATCCTTCACCCAGCAAGGGGTGCCACTGCTGCCAAGGATGACCCGTTCCAAGCAGCAGTAAGGATATTCAGGCTTGCAAACACTGTAGCGGACCAGTGCTGTGCCCTACAACACAAGAGAGCACGTCCTTCCCTCTGTCCCTGGGGGACACCGGGATTTGCTCTGGAAATAGAATGAACAGAAGGGGATTGGACAAACAGACCAAGTTCATACCTAAGGTTAGAGACTGTCTGGGTTACACGGACCATCGTGCCCCTACTGTAATTACAGTCGGCACTCAGGTACACGCAGGCTTAATCTCCAGAGAGAAATCGTTTGTTACTCACCGCTCACTGTTATTGCCGCTAGGTGTTATTCTCAGTTAGATGAGGAAACATTATGTTGGCAGAGTTAATGACGCTGGTAATGGCGGTTAATGCAAGCCAACCAATGATGCTGGAAATACCACTTGCGTTAGCAAAGCTTGAAAACTGCTGGCAAAGACAAGGTTGTGGGGACAAACTACAACTTATTGCCTCCACAGAGTGGTAAAACTGAACCTGGATAAAAGCTTAAATTTTGAGTTAAAGAACTGGGAATGACAGTAAGGAGAATTTTCTAAATCATATCTATCCGTGTTGTTCTATCTATCCATGTTCTTCACAGGGAGCCAGATCAGTCTAAAAAATAATACATTTATATTAATTCATTCATTCATTCATTTTCTTGTCGGCTTAGTCCCTTTATTAATCCAGGGTTGCCACAGCGGAATGAACTGCCAACTTATCCAGCAAGTTTTTTACGCAGCGGATGCCCTTCCAGCTGCAACCCATCTCTGGGAACCATCCACACAGACATTCACAAACACACTCATGCACTACGGACAATTTAGCCTACCCAATTGACCTGTACCACATGTCTTTGGACTGTGGGGGAAACCGGAGCACCCGAAGGAAACCCACGCAAAGGCAGGGAGAACATACAAACTCCCTACATTTATATTTCACAAATATTTTTTTCATACATCCACAACACACTTCAAATTTTAAAAACATAACTCAAAAATAAACTAATTTAATTTGTAAATTTAAAACAAGATTCTTAAATACACAAATCCAATTCGTAAATTCAAAACATGATTCAGAAATACACAAATCCATCTCGTAAAATTAATACACGATTCCTAATACACAAATCCAATTCATACATTTAAAACACGATTCAAAAGCACACAAATCTAATTTATTTGGCCAAAATATTTCTGCTTTTTCCTTTATTAATCTGGGTCGCCTCAGCGGAACGAACCGCTAACATATCTAGCATATGTTTTACGCAGCGGATGCCCTTGCAGCAGCAACCCATTACTGGGAAACATCCATTCACACACACATACACTACAGACAATTTAGCTTACCCAATTCCCTATTTTGTATTTGTGCAGGAAACCGAAGCACCCGGAGGAAATCCAAGCAAACACAGGGAGAACATGCAAACTCCACACAGAAATGCCAATTGTCCCAGCCGGGGCTGAAACCAGTGAACTTGCTGTGAGGTATTTGTGCAACACCATTCCACCACTATTTTATCTAGCTGTCTGTCTGTCTTTCAATAGCTAGGCACCCATCTATCTACAGTACCTACTTATCCATCCATCCATTAATCCATTCTATAGTGATTCCTCACTTTTTTGTTACCTCAGTTACATTCAAGATAGTCTTAATGCTCTAAATTAATTTAGTTGACTTAATTAACACAATGCAATTTACTGTAACACAACGCAGGTTTATCACCAAACAAGCTAAATAAAACACAGTGTCAAGTTAGAAATGCTGAAAAGTGTTGCCCTTACTTCCTGTTTAGCATACTATTTGAGAACCTTGGAAATAACAGAGCAGCCATCCACAGCCAGTGACCGATCTGTATCTATCAGAAGTTCTCCAGTATGCTTCTTGCAGATTTTTCTTCTCCCTAAACTCAAATTACAACCTCGTTTTGCCGAAACATAGAGAGAATGATGACTAAACAAGGCCGCAAGGTGGACTAGCTACACGAGGGAGGAATGTATCCGGTACAGAATATTTTTGGTGGGAGGGAAAGGGAGGAGATGGGTATCCTGACCCAAAAAGGAATCTCTTTCCTCCCATAAATATCTAGATTCGGAGCAGGGTGTTAAGAGACATGTGCATGTTAACAAGTCAAAGACAGACACCATGCAACCGCAGCTTCTTAGGCTGGGCTGAGACTGTCATCTTCAATATCTACGGAACGTGAGGGAGATGACAGCTGAGATAGAAAGGGGTCGAAATGCCTCTGACAGGCTGGACAGAAAGGAGATTCTTCAGAATCCAGTCAGAGAGTATGAACCTCAAAAACTTCAAATGAAGCCATCTGTACTGCTGCCAATGATGATCAAATTGACCTTACATGATAAATCACAGCGCATTTGCACATTTTCCCTCAGCAACTGTTCACAACAATCAAAATGACTAAGTTTTAAATGCATTATTTATAAGATTTGGAATTTATGATGACATTTCAAAGAGATTCTGTCATTTACTTGCGGTGTTCCAAACCTGTACAGCTTATTTCTCTAGAAAAACAAAACATGATTTTTCTTTGAAGAATTTCCTTGCCTCACTGAATGAGGACTGGGGCTGTCAAGAACCCCATATGTATCATAAAAAAAAATTCATATAACTTGTGTATTATTCTGCAAGTCTGCTGAAGACATGTACTGCTTTTTATGATGAACAGATAGAAATTATTGATGGTAACTGATAAAAATCCATTGCAGTAAAAAGAATCCAACAAATTGATTGCTTAGTCAGTGGTTTAAATTTTCCTATTAAAAGATTTAGACTGGTTGTGTGGACAAGTACTAACTACCCTGTTACTAATCAAAACATCAGCTATTTTTTGACTTGACTTCAGAAGATGATAATGACACGCAATAAACGCGTGGTGGTGTTTGAAGCTTCGAAACATGGAGCACAGATGCTCTTGACTATTCTGGAGGTAATTAATAATATAATAACACTAATACTGAAACGGTTGAGGCGTTTTAGAATGACCAAAACAGCATTTTAGCCTACTGGTTTGTCCATTCACACACATTTTTATTATCACTTGATCTCTTATAACAAAATCACATGACTTTTTTTATGCGTATACTGGAATTTGTTTGGTAAAAGTATTTTCATTGTAGTTCATGCACATCTTTTCTTATCAAATAAAAAGCTTAACCAGTTATGCGCATTATTTTTTAAAGCGTTTTTTCAAAACTTATGCGATGAAAACATAGCTACTGTCAAATTAGTTCATTAGACCCATTTTGGAGTTTGGCAGCATCGATTTGGAACAACACGTAAAAAAAGTAAATATCAACAGAATGTTTGGTTTTAGGCGAACTCTCCATTTTAAGCTGCGGTAAATCTGTCTTCAGCCTAAAAATACCCCTCAACAGCACAGAAGGTTTAGGACAAGGAAGCTGTTGTGTAAATGTATTACCTAATAAAAAACAAGGCCCTTTTATGTGAAGCAAAGATATTACCCACAATTCTGAGTAATGCCTGGGTCATTCGGCTTTGATGACTAAGCAAAAACCTCCAAGTGTCCTGATTTTAAGTGACCCAATGCGGACCGTTTGAAAAGAAACACACACACACACACACACACACACACACACACACACACACACACACACACACACACACACACACACACACACACACACACACACACACACACACACACACACACACACACACACACACACACACACTTGTATATATAGTTTGCGAGTACTCCCCATAGGTGTTCTGCATTTAAAACTGTACAAACTGTATTTATATGGCTTTACCCTACCCCTGAACCTCACCATCACAGGAAACCTGTGGCAAATTTTGAAAGTCAAAAGACCTACTTAAGTATTTTAAAGTTTTTTTAATCACAAGGACATAAGACTTATCCTCATAAAGCACCATAATGTAACACCTGGGTCACACCCATGCTTTTATGCATTTTTTGTTGTTCTTATTTTATACAGTCCTAATAAACCACATAAGCGCAAGCACACACACATACACCCCTGAGAAAACGTCTGTAATCCCAACGCCTTATCGTTTACACCATCTGATCGATCCCACAGCAGACATGATCCAGCTCTCTCCTCTATCAGTCCATCTCTTTCTGTTCCTGCCTCTCTCTCTATTCGTCCATTGATAGCTTTAGGAATCGATAAGGGAGGCTGGGTTTGACAGAGGGGGACGTGACAGACAGACGCGTCCCAAAGGGTTAATCTAGCAGCCTGTTTTAGAGACGCCGCAGGCCTAATTCAGACAGACACCTGATAGAGCAGGTGTTTTGGGAAAACATACACTGGAGAGGTACAATGTTCGGTCCTGTTTTAGAGAGCTAAAAACAGTTGGGTTATAAATGAGGGTGACATATGCATTTAGGACTAAACTACAGCAAATGGCTTCATTTTAAA